ATGATAATAGACATAAATAGTAGTATTACGGAAATTTCAGGTCGGAAATTCCAATGAGGCAAATGATTATACAGTCATTCAAGAACCGCTTTCATAATAAAAATAAAACGTTGGTATTGTATTCTTAAAATCTTGCATACACATTATATGTATTATAGTTGGGTTGAGAATGCTAATACAAAGAAGGACATTATAGGCCAAGCGCAGACAATACTGCAGGTAAAAGCTAGTTCGTTATATTACGTACCATGTATACTTATTGTATAAATATGTAGGTTCTTATTTCGTGTTACAAGTGTAGGTCATGTTATTGATTTACTGTAAATTGTAAGGCTTCTCTGTCTCCAACTCCAACGGGCCGACAATGAAACGTAGATATTCTTACTTTAGACTTGATCACACCTAACTATGTAGTTTTTGACGAGGAGGCTTTGCCCTCAAATTTTGAGGACTTATTTTGAAAACATGAAATTCAAGTGGAGCGAGTTCGACATTAGAATGATTCCAAAATCATTCTTAAATAAGCACTACTGAAACGTGAAAAATTGAATTGTCCGTCTGTCAGTCTGTCAGTGAAGCTAGGCGCTCTCCTGTAAGTCATATACCTAGGCTAAACAAATCATACTTTGATATGGCTAAGTAAAAGCTTGATTGATTAATCCATAACAAAGTTACTTTTGGAACGAATAGAATATAGAATTACTGGGTTTTTTTTATAAATTCTCAGTAGTAGCACGGAGTCTGGAATTGTGCCCGGTATATGGCAATAGGCTCACCCCCTATTACATGGGACTAATAACATAAATAGTGAAAACTGAGTGTTACATTGTACAGTGGCATAATGCACACCTCTGTCTACCCCTTCGGGGATAAAAGGCGTGTTGTTACGTTATGTAGAATATAGGATTGTTTTTCATTTGTCAGTCTGTCTGTCAGTGACGCTAGGTGATTTTGATAGAGAATTAAAGTCCATATGAGACTACAATTAAAGCCATCTAAATGTTAGTCAAACAATTATCGAGATAGAAGGATGTAGTTTTATATGAAAAGTTGAAGAAAATAGGATTATCTTAATCTGTAGTAGAATGCTGCTTGGTACAATGTTCAATATTGCTACGTTAGCGGTTCTAAAGTGACCAAAGGTTTAATATCTATCTAATCTTGAAAATATTTTGGGAAACTGCTATAACGAACTTTTAAGCCTACATAATGAATTACTCCTCCATTGAAAAAGGGCCTACACTAATTTTGTACGACTTTATTTACGCCGACCTAATCTAGACTATTTTAAAAATGGCTTAATTAATTTAGATTGTAGTTGTTATAAGTAGTTGACTGCACGGTTGGCGGGGTGCTTGGGCAACTGGCTGCCGCGCATCGTGTCGCGGGTTCGAACCCCGCACGGAACAACTCTTTGTGTGATCCACAGATTATTGTTCCGGATCTGGGTGTCATGTGTATGTGAACTTGTATGTTTGTAAACGCATCCACGACACAGGAGAAAACCCCATTGTGGGGCAACGTTTAAAAAAAGTTAAGTAATTTCTAACACCCACAGTCTACGGCGAACGGTGGGCGTAACATTTACTTTCAAATATGTCAGCGCTTCTACGGCCTCCACCTACCCCTTCACGGAATAAAAGGTGTAATGTTATGTTACGCTAAGTAATTAGTAACTTAGAAGCTACATACGAGCTTCTGTTGTACATAAATTGTTGAAGCATTAAAAAAATGGTATAATTATACGAGATTATTCATTAAAAATGAGAAATGAAAACGGTAGCCTAGCTATATGTCTGAATCGGATCATTACGCGTTCCATTGTCTCTGCCGACCCCAATATGAAAGTATGAATCTGTAGATAAGAATGCTAGGTTATAAATGAAAGGTGGTTATTTACCAAACTACTCCTTGAGCAATGGACTATTCTGGCAACTTCAGGTATTTACGAAAGAATTCCTACCTACTTTCTAAATTTTCTCTACATGATTTCTTTGGTTATTGCTTAGGACATACAGAAAAATGAAACAAATAAGATTTTGAGAAGACAAGATTATGATGCGCGATGCGAATCAATTCGCAATTTGTTACGATGCGCAGAGGGAGCTCGCACATTTATCCGAAGATAATTATACATTGTGCAAACATGGAGGATCCGTTTATACAAAGATGACCTTCAGTCCAGACTACTACGTGCTACGTACAGTGACGTCAGCACTAACTTCAGCGCTTATGTAAACTCAGCTTACATAGCATTTTATGAATTTATGCTGTACTAGCTTCTATCAGTGGCTTCGCTCGCATTCCTATGGGTAAAAAGTAACCTGTTTTATTCCAGACCATAATCTACCCATGTTCCGAATTTCATCCCGATCCCTTCAGCCGTTTTGGCGTGAAGGAGAAACAAACAAACAGTTTCGTCGTGTGAGTGAGGTTACCTAATCTCTCCAATCCCTAAATCCCCAACGATCCTTAAACTCCTATTCCCCAAAAGGCCGGTAACGCACTTGTAACGCCTATGGTGTTCCAGGTGTCCATGGGCGACGCAGATTGCTTACCATCAGGTGATCCGTCTGCTCGTTTACCGAATTATTCCATAAAAAAGGCATACGAACTTTCGCATTTTGTAATATTACTAGCTGACTCGGCAAACTTCGTTTCGTACCACCTATAAAAATTGTTCTCAGCCTTTAAACCTTCCCTGGACTTCCACAAGCATGTCAACACCAAAATCAGCCAAGTAGGTTAAGCCGTTCTAGAGTTGTAGCGAGACTAACGATCGAAAATTCATTTTTATTTATATATACAGAGTGAGTGAGAGAACTGAGTGATATGGATTTTTTTTATTATTTTTCCCAGTACTGGTATAACTTGGCTTTTCATCCGGTCTCAGATTATCGTTGAGTTTTGGGACACTTTCACCCTCGGTATGTTTTTGTGGAGTACTATAGAGGACCTGTTCAGACTATAGAGGACGTCTTCTAGCTGATGATGATGACATTTTTAGTTAAATCTCGAATACATCTTGAGTACGTAATTAAAGTTTGTAGATCTATTGTTGAGTTGAGTAAAGTATCATTTGGTGTAGTTATTGATTGTTTTGTAGTTACTTTTTATTATTGATTTATTCACTCATAGTCATAACATGCAAAATACCCTTACAGGCTAGACCCAATACGATAGTGTAGCAAATATATAACAATAATAATCAAAATATATAAAACAGAAATACATATACACAATATAATATAAGTACTTGTACTATTTTTACTATGTATAGCAAATCCTGTGCATAGCTGTGCTCGTGTAAATTCACCTAAAGAGCAACAGAATATGTCTACGTCATTAGCAACGAGGTTCAGAGTGTGGAGTTTATAATAGTAAGTAGGTAGTTCGTAATTCTTAGTCGTATTGGAGATAAGAATATTTTAATGTCCGTCTGGTAGATTATTTAAAACATTAGACACGTACGATTACTGAAACGAATAGTTTTGAAGATATATTAAATTGAAATGACGTCACTTCTATGTACATTTTATACGTAGATATGACGTTTTAACCCCCACTCGTAAACTTTGATACGTTTTATCTAAGTACCTAACTTACGGACCAATTACATTTTTAATTTTCATACCCTGTCATCATTACGATGCATTTGGTAAAAATGATGGACATTGTCTTTAAGCAAACATCTAGGTTCGAAGAATATACGTCATGATGCTTGCTATTTGAAAGTAGTGAGAGATTTGTGTACCGAAATTCGAAGTCATAGATTTATTGTATACCTATTATCTAGCGACCCACCCCGGCTTTGCACGGGTGCAATAATTAGAAACCTCTAAATTTATTTTTGTTTCTCAGCTATATTAAACCGTTCTGAAGAATCACTCGTATCTATTAAAAAACCGCATCAAAATCCGTTGCGTAGTTTTAAAGATCTAAGCATACATAGGGACAGACAGACGGCGGATAGCGACTTTTTTTTATACTATGTACTAATAAACAGGTTTATTAAACCCTGCTGGTACCCGAAAGGACAAAAATAAATGTGTATTGTATTAGTTATAAGAAGATATTAAAACGTAAATATGTATTCAAAATATAGAATACATCATTTTCTATACCATTTACATAGCCTGGAAACTCTTTTATTTATGTAGTTAAATTAAAAATATTTAAAGAAGCTATAAAAGTAAGCGTGTCGTAAAAATCAATATTGTTATCACAAACACAACATCTATTCAATACATTTCTTTGTTCTATCGAAATAGAAAAAGTCGTCGTTCATAAATAGAAAAACAATGGAATGAATAGTTCGTTGCGTTGAAGTCTTTTACGGGGGACCTACGTCATCTATGGAGTCGCCATGATTCTTTTATTTATGATCATATCCCATCAAATAAAATAATAACAACTTCTAAATATTACGACATTCAAATCACCTCTATAATAAGACAAGTAATAAAATACGTAGTTACGTAACAACAAAATTATCGATTAAAATAAATGCAACCTAAATGTTAATGTATTACGGTTTCAATTTGTAATAAACACACTTTTAACTTCTAAGTTGTTAAAATAAAGAGTAGACGAGTAATTTTACAACCCCTCAGGGTCGTAAAAACTTTTACGAATGCATTTCACGTATGTAGCGTCTGTCGTTTCGATTTGGTACAACTAGCGCCATCTAGACGCACAGAAGTACAACATCTCTATGCAATGACGCTTTGTGTTTTGAGAACAGCGCCATCTAGTGCGTTTTCAATGCAACAAATTAAAACAAATCAGACAAAATTCGTTTTATAGCAGTTATTTTCTTAATTTGCGTTATTACCAGCGGTTTTAGAATAATTTTCGATTCTATAATCGAATTTGCATACTGTAAAGTTAATTGTCGGTGTTAAATCCATGTTGAAACGATTTTATGGCAGTTTTTCGTAGCAACATTGATATAATACGAAAATATTTTTGATAGGAATGGCTTATTTGACTACACTTACCTTAAAATGTTGGTGAGCTGCTTGCTCTTCCGCTTCATACTTATGCTTTATGTTTTCTATGCGCATCTGCTTCAGGATGCCAGCTACCTCGATCCTGTTACAAGAAAATGACATTTTGGTACCACACACAGACACTCATAATATTGTTGGTCATGGAACCAGTTGCTTGAAGTGATTTAACATACTCCGAATGTACAGCATGATATACTAGACACTAGTAGAGCTATTGAAAACAAAATTACATCTTTTACAGTGGAACAAAAAACTAAGAAAAGGTTTGGTATGACTTACATGACTCAGATTATATAATATAAATATAATATTATTTAATCTGTGACAGACATTTTAATAATTAATTTATCAAATCATATTACTTAACCTTATAATTGGTTTAATTCTAGCTAGAAAATATATATAAGTTAAAATATTTAAACTTATTGTAGAAGTTACATTACAGAAAACTTTATACAAAGACCCTTCTAAATTTTTTTAAACAACTTCTGTATCTCTGATATTGTACCCTGGGCAGTCTCGCTTGCCACTTGATCAACAATGCACATAACCAAGGAAAGTATAAATATTAAAATATGATGTTTTTATAATAACATAACATCACGCCTCTTTATCCCTGAAGGGGTAGGCAGAGGTGCACATTACGGCACTTAATGCCACTGTACAATGTAGCACCCACTTTTCACTATTTAAGTTGTGAGTCCCATGTAATAGGGGGTCAGCCTATTGCCATATACCAAAAAAGATTAATAATAACTATTGTGAGACATACTAAATTAACTAAAAATCGCGGGTTACTAACGTGAGTATCGACAGCGCACGCTGCTAACGAGGAAGAACTCCTGTGTGATTCGAAACTAGTAGAGCTTTTTTCAGTAGGTATATTCACGTGAGTAACCCGCGATTTTTATTTAACAAAATACCAGTTTAAAATACTATTGGTATTTTATAATGTTCATTAATTCATCATTCTTTGATATCAGTTATTATGTCTTATAACTTATAAGAGAGGTATGACACAGCACTTTGTCTACAATGGTGATCAGAGTCAAACACAAAAGGCCTTTTATGATTCACATCCTTAATTCCTCTAGAGAGGCTCAGAATATTCGATAATTAGTAATTATACTGCCTGCATTAATCAAAAATTAAACCCCTGATATGAACTAAAGTTATATAAAAATACTTTTTTGACCACTACTGAATTTTTAACCAACTTCAAATAAAAGGAGATTCTGTTTGACCTGTATGTATGTTTGTGTGCGATTATCTCGCGATTGGCTGAACCAATTTTGATGTGAATTTCAAGTGTTTGTTACACTTAAGAGGCTTTAGTATATTAAATAACTGACTTCAAAGGATTGAAGTCGATATAATAATAATTATGTATCATTATTACATTTGTATGCCATTCTAGCAAAAACAAAATTTACCTAATCCTCATATTCTCCTGCAACCTCCGTAAAGGGCCGAGGTACTCTTGAGAGCGTCCACCACGCACCTCAGCTAGCTGGTGGTCTACCTGCTTCACTCTCTCGCAGTATAGCTGTTCACGAAGGACCGAGAACTGACGCTCCAAGTTCGCTGGAAACATTTAAAAATCAAGTTGTGAATATATGTAGAAGTATGAATATTTTAAATAGACATAGACTTTATTATAAGACAAGAAAAAATAAAAAATGTGTACAATGGGCGGTCTTATCACAAAATGTGATATCTTACAGACAACCTTTGGATAGAGCAAGTAATCAGGAGATGGGAAAAAAATATATAAAAAATAGGGTTGTCTAGTGTGTAAATACTATGTTTAAATACATTAAATGCCAGGGGGTCATCATTGACGGATGTTAGCGGAGGTTTTGCCTTCAAAAGTTTTCTAATAGCAGTCAAAACCTTAAAGGATACTTTATTGTATTGGAATGGCTGACACAGAAATTGGGCTAATAGCTGCTGCATAACATAATACATTAGTATGTGGCTTTGTATGTCTACTTTGTGTGATTCACAAATTGTTGTTCCAGGTATTTTTTTCTTAAGGGGGGAAAATCATCGAATTACTGCTCCCGCTTGGGTGATGCAAGAGGGATTTGTCAGACTCTTACTGACTAAAAACCACCCTACTCCTGCATGTCGAGCCGGAGCCCCAGTAACCCATTAGGTTCTCTGCGACTTGTCCCAGGTATGGGTGTGACATGTAACTATATGGCTTGTAAACCTAATCATAATATAATATGAGAAACTCTAGCATACAGCCACATAGTTCAAATATTATTTTTGGTATCTTAATTAGTCTAGATGTAGTTAAGAATAAGAAATTACATAATAACATAACATCACTTCTTGTATCCTTGAGGGAATAGACAGAGGTGCTCTATGACACTTAATGCCACTGTACAATGTAACACCTATTTTCACTATTTATGTTATGAGTCCCATGTAATAGGGGGTGAGAAATTACATATAATTATATTTTCAATTAATTCATATAAGTAATGGTATTTTATTTTATATTGGATGGAAATATTAGAATACACTACTAAAATGCCATGAGAAACCATAGAAAGTACCAAAACATGAAAATACCACTTATATCAAACATGGTATTATTTGATTATGCCAGCCAAAATGCCATGGAATAAATTGCTAATAACAATAACAAAAATGCCACTTGGATGCAAGCCCTGGTATTTATTTTGGGTTTTTTTTATTATGTTATTTTACAGTAATGTTAGTTGCAGATTTGTTAGTTATTAAGTAGAGAGCAAATAAAAACAAAGACCATGTTTTGTTTTACAAGCTTTAAGTGATTTCATTGACAACAGATATAAAACGAATCGAAAATCAAATTTACGACAAAACAAAATACCAAAACACAATATTATTGGTGAATTTTCGTCATCACTTAATGAGTTGTGAAATACAACAAGATACGTTTGTGATAAAATAGCGAATAAAAACAAACAATTATAAACAATTCCGCCAAAAACATCAATGTTTTGTAAACATAACCTCAACAACATAGCAGTGAATATGAAGCGTACTAACCTAGGTTATCGAGGCATTCATTCCTCCTCCTCTCGCACTCGCTCTCGTCCATCTCCGAGGAATCATCGGAGTCAGGCTCATCAGCTTCCTCAGCACTGGAATCCCTGTCAGGACCTCTTGATGACCCATTTGAACGCTCAGTGTCTCCTCCCGACATATCCCCGTCACCATCACTGTCACCCTCCACTTTCATCGACGGCATCTTCTCAAATATGTTGTAGTTTAACGTAATTTTGAAGCCGTAGTAGCAATTTAATACAGACTGTTGATTTTCGCTCCCTTTAGAAAGTAGAACGTCAATGTCGACAGAACAATCGTCAGTCAGTCAATACAATAATGACAGCTAACTAAGGTGTCAAAACGGCTACGTCAATTGTGGGGTGGCCAGCCTAGAATGAAATATTCCTACTATTTTTTTTTACTAAAAATTAAATAATTACATAATTTCACGCCTTTCACCCCCGAAAGGGTAGGCAGAGGTGCACATTACGACACTTAATGCCACTGTACAATGTACCCACTTTTCACTATTTATGTTATGAGTTCCATGTAAAAAATTATACATTGTTTATTTATTATTGAAATCATTGAGGGCGCCACAGATCGTTGGTACCAACCAAATAAAATTCAAAACTAACATACAAATGTGCAATGTAAATAATCCTTATTTTAGATAAAAAATCGTTTATTCTGTAAGTTTTTTATTTCTGGCAAATAAAATATTAACAGTAATACGATTCTTACCCTAATAGCCACTGTTCGAGCGAAAACATAATCTGAATTTGATAATCCAGCTTTTGGTCTATAGAAAATCAGTTCATACTCGAAATCCAATCAGTCGAGCTCAACTCAAAATTTTTCTTTTGCAAGTTCAATAAACTTCTGCTAAGTTTTATTCATTTAAAAATTACAATATCCAAACAAACTCGATCACACAGATGACATTCAACTCTGAGTGTTGCCATAGTTTTAATGTTGTTAGTTCTTCAAACATTCGTCGGCATTCTTAAATTAATAGATAAGTTAAAAATAATAGGATATAACGGCATGGCATTGCCACAGTTTTACTTTTATATAATGACTCAGTGAGATAGAACGGCGGCTCCAAATCATCATGTATGATATTGTCATAGCGTTATATTTTATAGCCTATAGCTTTTATAAGTAAATAAACTCCCAAAAACAAAAAAATAGTTGATCTAGTACATCTACACCTACGTCCTTAGAAAAGCGCGTTTAAACAAATTCTTTAGCTTTATGTTTTTTATTTTCAGCCATGATCGTCCCACTGCAGGGCAAAGACCTCCCTACCGTCCTTCCACTCCTCTCTTTGTAAAGCTTTTTGCAGCCAATCCTTGCCATACATGTCCAGTTCATCCTGCCATCAACTTTTGGGCCCGCCGCAATGTCTACATACATTGAGTGGGCTCCATTCAGTAGTAAGTTTTGCTTACCGCTTGTACGACATACGGCAGACATGACCAGCCTAGTTCCACTTAGCCCGTGGCTTTATCACTAACGTCAACGATTTTAGTCGTAGAGCGCAGCGTGGTGTTTCTTATTCTTGACGATACTTGAACTCCTAAGATACAGCGCTCGATGCTAGTTGGCCCGCTGGCAAACCTTGAGTTTGGACTTCTGGTGTTGTGTAAAAGACCAAGTTTGAGCGCCATAGGTGACAATGGGCAGAATAGACATGTCCATGAGTTTCTTTTCCAGAATTAAGAGAAGATTATTTGTCTTCAGGTGTTTGATAGACCAATAGGTATTTCAGGCGTTTTCGATGCGTCTACCAACTTATCTATCTTGTCTCGCCAGGGTCTTTAGCCAAACGCCACTTTAGCGCTTATCTACAGAGAGAGTAGAAATCAAAATGTATGGGGATGACACTGGCAAGTGTCAAAATATACGTCAATTCCATATAATTTGGTTTTCTATTCTACATGTAGAATTGTAGACAAGCGCTAAGTGGCAATTGGCTACAGCTGCTGGAAAGAGACTAGTTGGCCCAATTAGACTTTTTGACATAAGTAATCTATTTCTGCGTCATCTACCTCTAACCTTATATATTATGCCACAGAAATATTAAAATATACCTATCTATGTTTTATGCTGTCAAGGTCTGCTGCGGTCGTTGACCATGCTGCTTAGCTCAGCTACTGACGAAGAGAAGAGTACTATGTCATCGGCGAAATCGAGGTTTGTTACCCTATTTTCTTCGATGACCACACCCCTCATACTCCAGCACGCCGCAAACTTTTTGAAGATCTGTTCTCATCAACTCCCTTAGAAATAAAGAAGGATTGTGTAGTCTGATTGCTATGGTACTTTTACGGTAAACAAAATAATAAAGGTGGGGTGTCTTGGTTGCGTAGTGCTGTGAATATTGATGAATGGGTGAGACTGTCGCTTTGGAACAATCTATAAACGCTATATAATAATTATATAGAGGAAGATAGAATTCGAAATATTTCTCTATAATCTGATTGTCCAATGTGTAATTATTATTAATATAGATTTGAAGGGAACGTTCTATAAAGCATCCGCTCCAATTGGGGAAAGATGTTGCAAATATAGCGTATTTTTAGAAATTTATTAGACTAGTTATTTACTAGTTTCTGGACATTAGAAAAATGGACATAACGTAGTGTTGGCTGTATTTAATTAAACTACTGGACATGATATCAAAATCTAGGTACTGTTTAAATTTAATATTATACGAAATAATTGTGTACCATTTTCGATATGGACAAAGGAAATGATTCTATTGCAACCGTTTTTCCACCTATTACTGAATTGTTCTACTTTGTTAAATTTTTGTACCTACTGATTTATTATCGTAATTTCTGACGACGTAGTTTAAATAGTTTCAAACCACGCTAGGGGTTCTCATATTCATAAATCGTATTCGTTATTAGCAAGGTTTCAATACCTAAAATGGTTGTCCTTACGCAGAAATTGTAACAGATTCCTAATTTATTATAATGGTTAGATAAGTACATGTACAAAGTGAATACGCTTAAAAAATGAAAAGACAATAAAACACACACTTTATCTGATATTAAATTTAATAGGTATTCTATTATTTACAATAAATTGTTCACTATTAACATGTTATTTATTTATATCTTTATCATTTCCTCGGTTGTTAATAAATTATATACATGGCTATTTATAAATAAGATAATATCAATACTGTGAAGTTCGACAAATCCACAATTATTATTATGAGCATGAAAAATATTTGGATCATTGTTCTTTGATGGGAATTATAATGCCTAAGTACACTCCAAACATTGTTTGTGCTCATAATAAATTAACAATAACTTAAAAATCACACAGAATTATATAAAAAGAAAAACAAATTATAGTTTACAAGTTTTAGCACCTCCACAGGTTACAACTGATGTATATTTTATTCAAATACGAAATAACTTACACAACTAACGCAACTTCACGATGAATAAAAAACTTTATATGACACAATGTCTCAAAATCAGTACACATAACACAATCGAAAATGGTAAAGAAGAATACCTACATCATACATGCAAAGTAACATAATATTTAAAAATTGTGATTACATTAAAATGAATATTAAATCCACAGTTACTCGTGGCCTTATATATTTGGCACTAAATTATTTGGATGCACATGTCTATCTACAGAGATATACAAATATTAACGGAACTAATTAATCAAGATATTTAGAATATTGTTTTCGTACAATAATTTGTATTGCAATGAGCTATATCGCTGTTATATTCGTAACCAGATAATATTAATACTACCTATTATAAGTAAGAAGTAAACCTATCTTGTCTTTCATTTGTACCATACTTGCAACTTAACCATACTGCTAACCACACTAGTCTCTTTATTGCATGTTTTGTTTTCAGTAGGACTTTTGGTAGCGACACGACTTCTGGTAGACATTACCCTGACCCTATGTTATTATTGTCTTGTAAGTACATTGAAGCGACACCATTTTAAGTAATGCAGTAAATTGTAGCACTAAATAGTAAGCCACACTTATTTCCTCCGTCGCATAGAAATAAGATAGGCTTGAGGTTTTATGATACAAAATACGCCCATGTTCCCACATGAATGTGTAAATTATTAATATTTTCTGGTTACACTTCGATAAGTACCATTTAAGCGTATTAAACACATCCAGTTCGAGAATATTCACTCTAATATTATTTTATCTATAGGTAGGTATACGTTAAATGGGTAAATTTGCCAAAAAGAATAATTTATTGGCCGAAAATATTAATTGAAATAGGTATACTATAAAAACAGATATGTCGTTGTACAGTAGGTAAATTGATTATACGGATATAAAATATTGCTTTTCTACTCACTATAATAGCAGTGTTAATTTTAATTGGCTTTATTGTAACTATTAACGTCCTACCATCGAGTCGTTTCTTTATAGAGAAATCCACAAGAAGACTACAGGAGAAATTTTTCAAAAAATTCTATTTTTAATATCTACGTACCGTATAAATTTGGCATTTTAGAGAAATATTTTATTGTTTTATCATCGTATTTATTTACTATCTATTTTATTCATTGCAAACTATAAATTCCATTGCATTATTGTTGGTGTAGTATTTTAGAATTTCTTTTAACCATCTTAGTAATTTTTATATGCTTAACATTATTTATTCGGACTGGCAATACGCGCGCTTTAGTTTTATAAATCACAAATATTTTTGACGATGTCATTAAGTACATTATTTAGAATTGAAAATTAAGTACAACACAAAGTAAGCAGGACAGCAAAGAAATAATAAATCGTGTTTTATTGGACAGTCTTCACAATAATATAATAATTCTTTATAATATTAATACTAAGTAAGTACTAAAGGAATGTATTCTATAATCACTTTGGAATGTTTATAGATTCGTAGAAGAAAGTAACCCCTAACAATTTATTTAAACCCAGCATTTGAAACTGACGTAGAAGCTAAAATTGTAAATACTTATTTAAAATATACAAGTAAATATAAAGATTCCAAATACACGGAATTCTATAAATTATAATATCAAGCAATAAAATATATAAACATGCCTTTATTTAAAGAGGGGAATTTTAATGTATAATATTTAATTATTGGCGCTTAAATACACTCATAATTTTTAGGTTCAAAAGTTTGGGGCGTGCGTGGCCGAGTCAGTCAGGACAAAACTTTGAAAATATTATTTCGAATTTTATATATAAATGTCTAAACTACCGAAGGATTTAATGACTGACTCTCGGGGTCATTTATTATAATAACTATTTCTAAATCTTATTAAAATAAGAAACAAAGATAACACTAACCTTCCTTCGTTTCTAATTTTAACAAACAATTACTTAGAAGTTTAAAATGACGTAACATCCACGAATAAGGCAGTATATTTTGTTAAAAATTTAATAAACCAATCTCTCTATGGACTTTATAAGATAAACTCGCTCTTTTATTGTAGATAAACACTATAAGTATGTAAAATTATGCACAAAACATATCATTAACGTCAGATAGAGATTTATTGCCAAAATTTATTTAATTTATAACGAAGAGTTCATCAATAATACGACTAAAAACGTACGAATTTCGTGGTCTATCGAATTTAATTAATAAATATTATTTTATTTCTCTCATTTTGATTTTATAACACCACCTCCACACTCGTCTTCATAAGTAATCGCACCTCACTTGTAACACTTATCGTATTTTTGAAATAATTCATAACTAAACTAAAGTGATGTCTGAAACGAATAAAAATTCACTCGTCCTGTAAATACCTACGACTCGGTACTGGAATCGAGTCATAGTAACGTAAAACATCTCGGATTATCGTTTTTATTTAAATATTCAATTTCAACTAAACAAGACTTCGGGAACACATTTCTAAATTCTATATTTTCATCTACATCGTTACGGGCTGAGAACGTGTCCGTCTCTCTACATGCCTCTCTATCACTACCGAGTGCTCTCATATCCGATTTCCATTTGAATTTCTTTTTGACGTCGCAAACGTCAAGGAAGTAGACGAGCAAATGTAAAACCATTTGCGTGATGATATCAAACATCAGGAGCAGCGGAGTCAGGGCGGAGGGGCGCGGCAGTGCTGGGGGCGCGGGGGGCGCGGACGCGGACGTGGGGCGCGGGCGGGTCGCAGTCGGCGCGTACACGGGGCGCGGGCGGACCGCGGACGGCGCGGACGCGTGGCTCGGGCGGGCCGAAGGATGGCGCGGACGCGTGGCGCGAGCTTGCCGCGGACGGCGCGGACGCGTGGCGCGGGCTGGCCGCGGACGGCGTCGGTCGCTAGGTGTGCTTGAGCCAGTGCGCCGGCACCCACTGCGGCTCGCGCTCAAGGCTGTTAATCTCGTTCAGCAGTTGTTGGTAGGCACGTTGGGTGTCGTTGTTTATGATTATCATATCGAACAGGTGGCCCCATCGCAGTTCCATATCCCGTGCGGTTGCGATTATTTCCTTTAATTCTTCTTCCTGTAAACGATCATAGAATATTAATATCTTGATCATTATCAGAACTAAAATTAAATGTATGCAATATATTTTTAACATTTATTTACCTTGAAAGCCTCTCCATTTCTGATCTTCTTCTGCCTAAGTTTCTCGAGGCTGGGAGGTGCTACGAACACGGTATAAGGCTTTAGGTCGGAATTCCGGAGGATCTTTAGTGACTGAGGGTGTAAGTTCAGTACGCAGATCTTCCCTGAATTCACTACTTCACGGATCGCCTCTAGTGACGTACCTGAAGAGAAAAACAGAATTTTTGTTTTTATTGTAAGGGAAAGGTCACGCACAGGTAGATCTTTGAGGCAACCATAGAACAGTCTTTAAATATAAATTAATACGTTGAGACCAAAATGGGCACGTGCTGCAAACCAGTCATGAAGCCTATCGAAGCTGTATACATTATTTATTCCTTACCGTAATATGCCTTTTCGTACTCTCCGTGCTCGACAAACTTTCTATTGAGGATATCAGCCTCGAACTGCGTGCGCGAAATGAAGTGGTAGTCCTGGCCAGGCACCTCATGATCTTTGCGGGGACGTGATGTATCTGTAGTAAATACACATTAACATAAGTAAAAATCACCGACCTTCCAGAAAACAGAGTTAAATAAAATATTACCAAAAAAAGAATTTTTTTTTCGAGTTGGCAATACTACATACAACGAATTAATGGCTTTTGGCTATGAGCAATAAGTTCCGAATATAATATTTATTGTTTATATTTTGATAGGTACTGATTTCCTTGCCCGATTGAACAGTAAAATCATTGGCAATGTGAAAATTCGTTTAAAATAAAAAAAAATGTTTTAATACATACCATTTCCGTCTATAATAAAACATGTAAATAAAATAAAACATTTCACTTACGTGGCACTGCAGCAGCAAATCGTGAGCTGTCCTCCATGAGCCTCTGCCTGAGTTCGTGTCGGCCGATGTTGGGCGGCCCGATGAGGACAATGGGCCGCTTGTGGGACGCACGAGGGTAGTACAACGCGACCTCCTCGTACGTTAGGATCTCCTCTTGCTCGTATTCTGGAAGATTTAACCTTACTAATCTCACTTATAGGGCTATTTTGTGAACAGATTTGGATGGGATATTTGTAACTACAAACACATGCACCTTGGGTAATGGACTGACTGATAATTTAATTCAAAAGTGGTTTAGTGGAAATTAGGTTTAACTTTGGGACATATCGGCTATTAAGCTATTTTGGAGGGAATGAATTCATGTTACTAAATAAAGCATCTAATCATACTACAAAGCGATAGAGGTCTTTAATACCGTCATCATTCGAAGCAGCAGTAATGAAATTTTAAGAAGGGTGACAAAATATCTGTAGTAAGTCGAGTAAAACAATATTTCATAACATAATTGGTATGAGCCTACTGCCTACTTTAATAAAGTGATTTAAATAAAATAAAAATGCATAACCAAGGGCTTTTCTGATCATCTACTTCTAAGAAAGTAATTCAGAGCATGCAACTCACCATCCCCACCAGACGTGGAGTACAGCGGGTATCCAGCCTCACTCGTGGCCTTCTTGCCCTTCTTCTTCCGCGGCGGTTTCTTCGCACAGAGTAGGGTGCCACCCTTACGTGGTTTGTCTCTGGCCGCTACCTCGCCCGCTAACGTCAGCTTCATTGATTCTCGCCTGGAATTGTAAATGGAAATTGGTCTTGAAGTCTTCTTCGAAAACGGACTTATCATGATAATAAACCTTCATTTCAGATTTGATTTCAGGGTATTATTAATATCTTGGTTTTATGAAACTCTGTAATAACGTCATAGAGTCTTGCCAAGTACGTGGCACACTCTGTAATCTTGTCCCAGAATAGGATCGCCCCATGAACAAAGATCCTTCATTTACAATCTTTTTTGAATCTATGCATTTTTCTATGTGTTAAAGTTTATGGAGTGTGAAATACTTACTGGTGTTGGAACGCCTGGCTGGGAATGAGTCCGGCGAGGGTCTGGTCCTCCTCTCCCTCACGGAATGCTTGCCACCAGTTCGGGTCCTCGCGGCTGATTACGTGAAGAACATCGCCTTTTTGGAAACTTATACCTGGAACATAAAATCAACAGTCAGATCTGATGGCCATGACATTTCCATGCGTAAACGAAGGTTCGTTAGTATTGAATCTAAATTATCGACTCCATGGCTAAATCAAACTTGATTATAAATATGTCACTAGACATCAATGTGGCATAGGAAGTTAGGAAAGGCATGGAGCAGCGGCTTGGTCAACTTAAAAGAAACCCGGTAAAAGAAGCAGGTTTTTGTTTAGTTAGAGAAGTAAATTATTAACTAACCGAGCTCCCGACAAGGGATGTAGACGTCGTCCTCGGGGTCGTAGTCGAAGTGCGCGCGCACGTGCAGCACGCGGTGCGAGGGCGGCGCGCGCGCGGCGGCGCGGCGCGGCGCCAGCACCACGCACAGCGTGCCCGACAGCGCGCCCAGCACCTGGCACACCTCGTGCACTGACTTGCCACGCATCGCCACGCCGTTTACCTCCAGTAACTACAAAGATACGATTGATATTATATTGGGATCCTACACAATAGCAATCAAGGATAACGTAACTTAAACATAGACAATGACTTAAACGGTCAAAGGAGCTTTGAAATCGATTCTGTACTTATTTTTCATACTACTATTTATAAAGCATGGACAGGTGAACCGTTAGCATCGCTAGAGACGTAGACTAGGGTTGAATATAAGAAGTTCCTTTGTCCAGCAAAGAACATGTTCTGACTAATGGTGATGCTAATGATTATAATGTTATTGAAGTTGAAGACGATGAGGTTATAAAAGACAGTTACAATATTGATGGCTTCAACGTTTTTGATGGCAATGATAAGAGAAACTGCAAATGCAATAATAATAAACGAACATTTCTTGCTCTGACTGCCCAAAATCTTACCTCATCTCCTTCATGTAAAAGTCCCGACTTCTCCGCCGCTCCACCCCTTACTATCCTTCCGATTATTACAGCTTCACCTTCGTTTCTTACAGTAGCACCTGTAATAATATAACATAACATTAAAATTATAACTTCGTTATATTCTTTTACTTCTTTTTTATCTTATTATGCCTTATCCTTACCAAGTGGTTCGTTAGTCTTCTCGATTTTGATAATTTTAATATGTTCGCTGGGGTCGTCGGGTGAATGTGCCGTCAATGCTTTGTCGTTTTCACCCTTGTGATTGAAGTTGTTACCAGTCTGGAAGAAAATACAAATATTAATTACTTAATTTATCATCTATAAAGTAATCCTCAAAAAAATATAATTATGTTGCTCAACGACAGAACGTTAAAGTTTACAATGCAATGTCGGAAACGCAACGTCAAAGATTAATCTTCGGATAAAATGATCTTAATAAAAATCGTTGTCATAAATTACAGACAATGATTATCTGAATTCGAATACGTTCAGTTTATGAGTTGCATAAAACCATTAATTTCCCCATTTTCTTGGTTACTTTGTTTGTTTTCTTTGTTCTTTGATTGTTTCTATATAAGTTGGGTTTAAAATTATCGTAATTTATGTAACGTTATCTAAAAAATGTTGACAGGACAAATATCTAAATGAATTACTCTCTTTGTATATTTTTAGAAATAAGTACGTATCATTAGATTAAGCAAGTATTATTAGATTAATAGCGAAATGATTAGAAGTATATTTGGTAAGATTATTTCAAAATCAAGAATTTGTTTAGGTATTGAATGTATTACGTGGTCTTTTACCGTTTTAAGACCGACAACCGGGGTGATTTCTTATTCGAAGGCCAATTTCTTATTCATTTTGGATCATTGCCAGATGACTAAGTCAATAAGTAGGTAATCTTTCTTTTTTATGGAATAGGGGCAAATGAGCAGACGGATCATCATGATAGTAAGCGATTACCGTTGACAATGAACTTCTGTCTGCAACACCAAAGGAGTCATAAGTGCATTGCCTACCTTTTTTATGAGGAGGGAAAATAATCAAATTACTCCTTTCGCCCCGGGTGAGACAAGAGAGAGTATCAGACACTTATTGACTAAAAACCACCTCCAACTTCTACCTCCAACCAGAGCCAGGGCAACCCTTGCGGTTGCTAGCCTCCTTTTTCTTTCTTACCTTATGCCTCTTGCCCCTGTTAAAGCAGGCGGGGTCCAGCAGCGCGGCCGCCTGGTCGTGCGCCTGTATCAGGCTCTCGAGCTCCAGCCCGCCCAGGATCGACAGCAGCTCCGCCGCCAGCGCCGACGATTCACTGCCCGTTGATGTGTGTGCTCCCAGTACATCCATGCACTGTTGGGAGAAAAAAAATGGTTAAAAAATTTTAGGTAAATCTTATCTGTTTCATATAGGTTACTGGATTTTATGAAATTAAGCTTTTAGATAATATTATAGCGAGCCAGGCTTCAACCATGTAAGGATTAATGCGTAGTTTAGCTGCTGGTGCTATAAGTAGATAAGTGCTGTGAATACTTAATTTTTAATTTTACAAAGAGAACAATCCAAAAAATTAATACATCACAGCAAAAATTAGTCCCTTTTAGGGATTTTTGGTAGCTAAATTATTTCTGTATATTTTCCGTTTCGTTAAAAGTTGAATCTCTTATAGAAAGCTCGATATGCTGGGTAATCTGTACATAGATAGAAATAATTGCACTTACGTCTTTCAATCTATCCGTAGCGCGGTGTGTGTGAGGCGGGGCTAGGCCGGGCCTCTTGTGCCTGACTGCGGTGAGCACGGCGGACCTGGTGGCCAGGGCCGTCCGTAGCGCAGGACACAGCAACGCGCCCGCCGCGCCCGCCACCCGCGCCGCCAACGCCGACTCCCCGCTCGCTCCCAGCGCCTTTTGCACGCGAGTGAGCGCTGCACATACTTCTTGGTAATCTGGAAAAGAAATAGATTTTATTTTAGTTTTTTTAATGTTAACAATGACTAGTCTTGTAGCCACAAAAGTAGTTGTCAAACAAGAGGTCTTGATCTTAGGTCAATTCTCGTCCTGAAGAATATTAGTTTGGGTTCAAAATAGGCGTACGCAAATAGGCTCATCCATTGTTATGCTTTATGGCAACCAACATCAATGGCTAATATTCGTTAGGCAAATACGAGGAAGAATAATGATACCTATTCAACCATTTGTCTATTGAAGGTATTTTCTGCTATTACCTCTGTCTTAATATACAGACAGGATATACTTAACATGTACAACTTAATTTACCTTCAAGTAATTTCAATAAAGAATATGCTGTTAGCCCTATTAAAGTTTAATGCTTGCATAATCAAAGTAGAGTAACGAAAGAAGTATACAGAGCGGATATGAATGGGGCCGTCGGTAGAGGGCGCCCTAGACGGGCATATAGTGACCAGATTGATCGATATATTAGAGAAGGGCCAAATTAAAAGTACCCTTAACCGACGAGCATGCATGAAAAGATTGATGACTGTTAATGAAGCGAAAGAGGTATGTAAGAATCGTAGTAATTGGCGTTCCTTAGTCTCTGCCTACCCCCATGGGAGACAGGCGTGAAGTTATGTATGTATGTATAATCACTATGATAGCAATGAAATATGACATTTACAACAAACACGTCTAACGTTTAATTTAATACTGCATTAATTGAATGTAGACATGTTTAGATTAAAATAACACTTATATATAATTAAAATGGTTGCTCATTAATATTGTAATAATAATGTTTCTTTGAATATTACTACGATTGGTACTCATTGCGGTAATTTTATAATATCTTATCGCTTTATATCACTTTGAATCTTGAAGTATTAATAATTGAGTCTTGCGCTGTAGTAGGTATGCCAATGACTAATTAAACAGGTACAGATATTGTAATAATGTGATTTAAATATAATTTATTGTACTTGTCTTATTGAAATGCTATTGACCACCGCTTGTTGTTGCTGCGTGTTGCTTGTGACTTGTGATCACCGAACATTGCAATGATGATATCATGATAGGCATTTGTATATGTATGTTTGAATAGTGAGACATACTAAATTGATTTACTCCTTCTCTTCTTATGAGCATCGTGCGCGAATGCGGCTACGTCGGCCTACTACGGAGGTAGAGTCCCCAAAGTGACATGAAATTTGTATAGCTTTTCTCAATATTTTACGTAATTAAGCTAGCTTTTTTAATTAATCATGATAGGTACCCGTTTCAATACCTAATAAAACTCCGGTTACCACATATGTATTAGAGTGCATATATCTGTCTCGGGAAGCGTAAAGAGAAATGGTATAAGAAATGAATGAAGGCTCATTCAGGACCAGCATTTGGCGAGTTAACACCTAACTAACCTTCTGAACTCGAAAACTTCCCATACACGAAGTAATAAGACCGTGAAACACTTGATATAAACCAAGTTTGAGCTCTTACCCTCCCATCAACCCCTTTAAGGTCAATCAAGGGATTATTTTCCTCGAAAACCTTTAATATATAGGATATTATGACTTTATATCTTTGGGACCCGAGCCAGGTAGTGAATTAGAGAAGGTAGTGAACTTTGGAGTGATATTTCTGGTAACTAATACGATTTGCTAGGGAAGGAAGTGTTTTTATGAACCTGTAAATTGCCTTATTGAGAGTATTAAGGTTCTAAGGGTTAAGTAATTAAAACGAAATATATGCGTAGGTAAGAGAATAAACTGATTTATATCGATGCAACAACGAGAATCCTGGACAGGACAATCTATGTGATAAAGAACAGAATACAATTCAACAGATTGGTCTACTATCTTAGCTAAGGACTCATTCTTTTTCAATAACTAGGTAATCTCTTTCCTGATCAAAATCCAATCTTAATAGCAATTCAGTCTGCTTCCCGAAAAATATAATCCACCGTGGACGATGCCCCAAGAAAAAACAAAACACTAAGCAATCTATAAAAAATAAACGATGCTCTCTGAGTAAAAGCAAAAGTATCTTAATTAGCACCCTCTTCCTCAAACATAAACTCTTAATTCGTTTATCAGTTCATCAGCAGAACAGACCAAGTTTAGCTGGACGTTATTTTTATCAGTCATCTGAGTGTCCCAGTTCAGTAATATCGTGTGGTGAGCAAACTACTGATATGTGAACTGGAATTAATTCGACCCCTAGTTCGCTGAGAAAAGTAAAAATATGGGACAACGGTGGAAAACTGGAATACGTTGGTAATATAGCCCAACCGACTCTATCGGCTATAAATGCGCTTTTTCAGCGATGCAGAACTTTTATACCGTAGTTTTCCCACTGCCTGGTATTTGGACGTTTTCCATACGTATTTTTTGGTATTTTTCAATGTGTACGTTGCGATTTTTGTTTATTTTAGCGGTGAAATATTTGCTGTGTGTTTTGTTTTTTATAATCTAGTTTGGATATCTTAATAACATTAATAATATCTTAATATGTATGTATTGTATCAGTGACGTGAAGTTAATTATGACTAATTACAAAAAAACTATAATCTATGTTTTAATAAAGAAATTAAAACGTTATTCATATTACAGGATTACTTTCGGAGTAAATCACTCTTCATCAGATGGATTCAAATTAATGTATGGAAATGAAAATTCTCGGAAACGTATCAAAGACCAACTTTTACAGCATTATCGTGTAAATTAATAATATATATCAAATGTAATTTTGTTAAATTATTCCACTACAGATTGTAACGTGGAGATAACGTCGCCATAAATAAATATTCATGGATATCCATGAATATATGTATCCAGCTTTATAATTCTGGATACGGAAGCCATTTTCACATAAAGAGAGTAGTGGTTTGGTTTTCATAAACTAATACACTGGTTGGAAACTAAAACAAAAAAAATATATATTTATTTTCTCTATGAATGGGCTGTCGAATGTAATGAATGGATATTTGGTAACGAGACATTGCACACGATTTGTAGTTATTTTAACGTCAGTGTTATGTGCGTTAAAATTGCAACCACCAGATACATAAAGCGTAGTATTACAGGCAAAGGATTTCATTTTATTCTCAATAAAGTTTGTTTACACATAAATATAATTTCCACAATTTTCATAGCCCTTTTCATGCTAGAGAAAAATAACAAAATAGGATCTACGTTTTAACCAACGAAACACACATGAAAGCAATTGACAATTTCAGTTTGAAAACTCACACGAGAAAACTTTATTGAATCGAATTCAATGAAGCAAGAAAATTAATATTTTTAAAGTAATAATTTCTCAATCTGCAAATGTTTTGGAAAGCGACAGAAAACACATTTTCATAGCAGCACCGGCGCCTTAAAAATCCAAAATCTAATACGTTCTCATGCGAAGTAATTTCAGGCATCGCTGAATTATTTGCTTCACTGAAATTTTTGCTGATCCGCGAGAAGAATTACCGCTATCGGACGTGATATGAAAATAAAATAGGTTCCGAGTTTTCCTGAAACTCTGTTTCATGGGGATAGGATCCGTATTTAAAGATGGGGAAGGATTGCGAATATGTTGATGGGTGTAAGGAAAACAGTAAAACCCATAAGTGGGTGGAAGAACATCTGGGTGCTTGCTTGTTCCTTTTTCTGACTTTTCTCTGTTTCATAGGTATTGAGTTTAAATATGATTTAATTAGACTCTGTCCTATCGGGGCCGACAGTAAGAAGGTATGAATGAGTATAATTGACGTTAAGGACTTCCTTATGCATGGATAGATGCACGTTGTCAGCATCTGACACATTCAAATCCGAATACGATGTGTGAAAAAGCAAACGTGATACATAAGGCAAGTAGAATCTAAGGTATAATTATTATAATATAACTTCGATGTCCAGGGCGAAACTGTCGTGTTAAAGGCTCCCAGACTATTGGAAATATCACACGTACTACCTATTGAAAACTTAAAAAAAACAAACTCACCGACAACAGCATAGAGTTGCGTGGAGTCGTCGCTGATGTCATCTTCATAAGCATCGTTGACGAAAGCAGTGCCGGACGATGGGGGGTTCGATTCCAAGGCCTGTAGCTTGTGAGACCCTCGCAAAGAGTTACGGAGGAACTCGTTCTGTGCTGCGATCCTCTCCTCAGCCTCTTTGCGTTGTCGGAGCTGTTCCTGTTGAAGATAGAAAATTGAAGGTTAGTTTATTCTTTATTATACTTGTTGGAGATATGAAGAAGTCGTTCACGTATTTTTAATACAGTCAAACACCTGTTTCTTCAATGGATTCACGTAAAGAACTCAAACTTTTTATTAAGACTTAAATGTTTATAAAAATGTATGGTTTTAAGTGTGGGAGAGCTATCCTTCGGCACGAATAGGCCGGCTCGACCGGAGCGATACCACGGCCTCATAGAAGACCGACGTGAAACAACGCTTGCGTTATGTTTCGTCGTGTGAGTGAGGTTACCTGGGGCCCAATTATCCCCCCCCCCCCTTTCCCCAATCCCTGAATCAGCAACAAACTCTGGTGTTCCAGGTGTCCATGGGCGACGCCGATTGCTTACCACCAGGTGATCCGTTTACTCGTTTAAAAAGAAGCCGGTACCGCATGAAAAAATAAACTTGAAATCTAATATTCAAATAATTTATTAAACTGACTTGTAACGTTACGGTAGAACTTGTAGGTTTCTAATATAGTTATTATTCTCGATGTACTAAGAGACATTATAGTCCATACCAAACTAAATCGAGTCAGTTCACACGAAGTATTGCAATAGTATCGACAGTTCACATGCATTCAGTGACCACTGAATGCGCTGTGACCGTTCTCACGGTAGCGCCACCAGTACTCACACGTAATGTTATCATACCTTCATTACTTTCTCTGTGATATCGAGACTTGGTTTTATGCTGTAAGGATATTAGGACATGGTCATATGATGCATAATTATATTGTTTATCTACTTTATACCACTTAGATATTATATTCGTCGGTTACTCCTATTATAGTAAGTAAGCCAACAAATAGATAATATATCATATCATAGTACTAGTGAGATCTACTAAAGATGTCGGAAAATTGAATAATCTTTGACTACTAGGCTTACAGACTCTTATATTCCATTATCATTCTTTCATTTATTACAATTTTCATTTTACTAACTTCATCTGAATGACTGTTTAGTCACATAAGAAAATTGTCATGTCCTAATTAACCGTAACATTACGAACAAGTCCATATATAATCTTACATTAGCACATAGGTACATATATCTTGTAGAATCATCAGTAGCCGACCAATAAATCCTATCACTGCCGTCCGTCAAATAAATCTTCTCAGTTATCTCAGTTGTCCCACATCGCATAACATCACCACATGAGGCCATAAAGCAGTAAACCGAACACCTTGACCGACTGCGTAATATGTTTATGTAGGGTCATGTAATATTTACCTATTTATCAAACTTAAATAAACAGTAGGACGTTTTCCATCGAAGATTTCAAATCCATCTTAATTACTTGGTAGTTTTGCTTTAAGAAATTAAGAAAAAAGTCGTTGCTAAATTGTCATTTCATGTTATGGTAACTCATGTTTATTCAAACAATTCAGTTATGCGAAAACAGTTGAAAACATTCACAAAAACATAATTTCTATTCCAACAATAAAGCACAAAGATTTACTGTAATTGTCTTCCAAAACATTAAGTTCAAACTTAAACAAAAGAGCGCTAATTGTTTAGCCAAGTGAGTGATTCCAGTCTCTAGATAAACAAGAGAATTTGGTTTTCCAAAACATCACTTGCAGATTCCAAGTTCCAATTTGCTTTTGGTGCGATTTTCGGACCAGCGCCAGCGGACCGAATTCCTTTACGGTGCATCGCACATTTAGGTGCTTGGCGAGACTGCAAGACCAACTAAACTTTAAGAAACTATTCACTTCAATTTAGGCTAACTTCGTCTGATGAGATAACTTCACAATTCTAGCTAAATTACTTCTGAGCCGGGCGGTAGTAATCGAGTAAGTGAATTTAGAGACGACAAACGAGGCTCAGGGATCGAATGTTCTCAAAATCATAATTCAATTTGAAATTCGAAACCTAAACGAATGACAATGATAAGTAATATGAGAAGCTTAATGTAGACGCGAAAAAACAAAGGCGTCATAACATTGTTGTTAGTCATTTTGGAGAAAGAAAATATGTTTCAGAACTCATAATGAAGTCAGACCATGAGCCATAAGCCAGAGGGGCTGAAACTCGAAGGAATTGAAGATTAAAATATTCCACAATAGCGTGTATGGAAAAGTGTTACATTTTAGCAGTACGATATAATGTGTTACTTATGCATAAGCTCGTACAAATTCAAAGAGTGTGTATTGTTGCAAACAATACGAAAACATTCAAAATTCACGAACCATGACATACAAAATACAAACTAACCAATATGGTACCATTTGGTCTGCTAAACGTCGCGTTGTTTAACATACAATGGTGGCCGCGGAATTATGTATGTCGTGTGTGTTCGCGTGACGTCACCGTGTTAGCCGATAGCATAGTTGGACAAACAGATCCGGCCGCGTTATGGGGTCAGGAGATAGCAGAGAGAGCAGATTTTCTAATTCTTGAAATTGAGGAAGTTAATTGTAAGGAGATTGAAGAGAATAATAAAATGGCTGCAGCAGCAACGATATAGCCTGTGTCTAGACTTGTGTCATGACATTAAACTCAATTTATATATCTAGAATTTTATCTCGGGTGCTCTTCTATTTGAGATCGTAAAGCAAACTTATTTGACACGGAAAATCATAAAACATATTACTTGAAGTAACTCCAGATGGTGTAAAAGGTCAATTTATTTATTGAACTGCCAGCGCAGTGGATAAGCGACGGGACGACCCCATTCTGCCGCAATACTTGTTGGAAATTTAATAAAAAAACATGTTCGATCCCCTCTTGTTAAACATTGCGTTATGAGCATCAATCGTTTACTTGAAACTGTTACTCAATTTTGAATATATCCCTACTTATCATGTTGGATTTTCTTCTTAGGTTATTTCTGGAATTCCAATCTACACCTGGGTAGGTATTACCTATGAATGATTACCAACCACAATGAAAAGATTCTTATTTGTACTGAAAGTGTTCAAATGACTATATTACAGAAGATGAATTCAAATACTAAACAGACATTTCAAATAATTGAAAGACTTTTCGCAAGGGCCCATAAAACAGCAAACTATATTCCATTTAATTTGCCGACTGTCCGAATCAGAAATTCTGAAGTTTTAATCATAAAATGGAAACTTATATTGCTTTGAACATTATGTTTATTAGCTTGGAAACGATGCATTTACGAGAAGTAATTTAGTTTTGGCAATAGTTTTATGACCTGTCTTTAAAGTACTACGTAAGTAAACTGGTTTAAAGAAATTTATGAACGAATGACTTAATTTTTATTACTTTTCAGTTCTTCCTGCTCTGAATACCATTAATGAAGCAACTGCCACTTTATTTTTATTTTTGGTTACTCCAACAGGACATTTTAAGAATCTTTCGGGCTGTGTGTGTTACTTTATAGGATTTTGCAGAATGGTAAAACTAGGTCCGCTTTCAAATTAGCATTACTTTACCAGTCTAAAGTTTTATCCGTCCATCAATAACAATTCTTCATCGTGCACCAAAATTCGACACGAACACTAAAAGCATGCAAACATCGATAATTCCCATAGCTTACATGGGACCTATTTCTAAATTCCCTCCATAATATATCATATCTTTACTCTCCGGATCCCTGATTGTGCAAGAGAGAAAGTCCCGAGGTGTCACTCGAGATTTATCGATGACAAATTGTAATGGCTGCTCACACATCACTTACAAGGATCAAGATACTGAATGGCCCGATTTAATGTATCAATATCTTTCCTTATACTGGTCCTATGTTATGGATCGAAGGACATAAATGTTTATGAATGGGGAAAAGGAACAGAAGACAATAATAATACGTACATAGACGATTTCAGGGTTCCGTTTTCATGATTTCTAAAGGTTGCGAAGAGAAAATCCTAGGTCTTTAATGATTTAGTCTTTCCTTAAAGTTTTCAACCAAAAAAGTTTAGCAATAAAATCATTACGAAGTCTAAAGTTTGCTTAGGGAACATAAAACTATCGCACTTTAACTATAAAGAAGATAAGGCAGACGTAGACTAGTAATTTGGAGTTTTTATAGCATTTAAACTACTTAGCCTATTTATTCATGATTATTCGTGTCTTAAGCTACTTATTGCTTTACCAACAAGAGCCTTTTGAAAACAATCAGCGTGTAGACGTCAATGGAAGCCATTATTTCTATTTCCACGACGCTGCCCCGTATACGGGCCGGTTCCGAATATCTGTCGCATTTCGCGCCAAACGGCCCGGACATCACGATGTTTTTACGTTCTTACGGAGCCCGGAATGACGCCATCGTCAGTAAGTAGGCAAAATTCTAGAATGGTATCAACAGAAGGTCTATTTTTATTGGTATTATTGGCTTTGAAAGAAATTGCTACAAAAGTGTAACGTGAACGTGTTTTATCTTATATCTACCTTTGTTTTATGTTAACAGTTGGTCTACTGGTCATTCGTTTTATCACTTTTAGCCAAAGTTTACGCTTTCTAATAATAAACAAGAAAATATACACTATTATTAATTATTTTATGAACAAATGATTATATTTCTTACTTTCTTTGGTCCTTATTGGATCATTATACTGAAAAATGTTCCTTCTGTCCCATCCACTTTACGAATGAACATCAGAGCTGTTTCTACGAGCACAGCTACTAGGTATGAATATTTTTATTGACCAATTTGTACAATTTCGTTATTTCTGTCCTGTCATAGGAAAACAGGTGTGCTACTCATTTTTACTTCTTTTATTACTCCTGTTACAGCGGTTCATTGAGTTTTGTCGTCTGCAGTCAATTGTTTATTGTGTTTTGCATTTTCTTGTTTATCTGTGAGCACTTATAGTTTCTCTGACTTATCTTTTAGCTTTGCTTCTTATATTAAAACAGTTTCCTTCACAATGACTTTTATTTTTATTTTTATATTGGTAATTGCTTAATTTGATTTCCATGTTCATTAGCTTTCTGACTTTCGTGTAAGTAATTCTTGTAAATCAATGTAAATTATTT